ACTAGCCTTGAGCTGAAGAGCTGAGGGACAGTGCCCAGGCCCAGAGTTCAGGCCCCACGACTGGACCAAAAAAAAAAAAAAAAAAGGATAATCCAAAATTCTGTTAGATTATTAGATGCAGTTTTGATTATACAGCTTCAATTTAAACATCATCAATATTTTCAATATATCTTAAAGATTCTCAATATAGTCTATACAGATGAATTTATTTCTTATTGTTCTCTCTTTATATGATTAGATTATATATGAATAATCTATATAAATAATAGATATATGAAGATTATATATGCACAATCTCTATATATGAATAATAGATATGAACAAATTATATATATTCTATAATCTATATATCTATCATAACCTATATACCTATATGATCTCTATATATTATATATTAATCTATGAATATCTGTATATGTGAATGATCTATTTAGAGAGAGAGAGAGAGAGAGAGAACACGAAATAAGAAAAACCCTTGAGAGCCAGGTATTTTATTTGTTTCTGTTTTGTCTTAAGGGATTATGCTGTTTTATTAGGGTTTTTTTGTTATTTTAAAAGTTCTTTATTTTAATAAACATTAAAGTTATTTAACACTCAGTTTATTTAAATATTTAATCTCTTTGATAGATATTTATTTATTTTAATAATCAAATTATTCTCTTTCATTGTACAAAGGGGTTTCAAGTCAACAGGGCAGTTTGTGAGTACAACACATCCTGATTGATGTTACCTCTTCCTAGAAAGGTTCCTTAATTCAGCCCAAAATGGCCCAGGGAAACTATTTGCAGAGAATTTGGGTGAGTTTTTGGTTTCTTCTAATGGGAACAGACTGTTCCAGCCAGGCACACTGTAATAAAAAATGACCTGCCACATCCCAAGCAGAATTTTGCCTAAAAGATCTCAAAATGGCAAAGCCAACTTCCATTAACCTCTCCAAACCCTATAAAATTATCACCTGAGTGGACATCTATTTTATTGGTTTGCTTTACTTTGCATGCCAATATTCTTTTTCCCTTTTCTTTTGGCTAAGAATACTCAGGCCATGCACATGTGATTCCAGGTTGACCAGTTGATTTTTCCCTTCTCAGAGTATGACCCTTGTTAAAATTGCAAAAAGCAAAAGAACAGTTGGGGTACATTCCTTTACAATGACCCCATGAAGAAACTACTACTGCTCTCTGTTGCTGCCCCCTTAGACTCTCCTGGTCTCTGCCCTTTCCCAGGCCTTATCCTCAGATTTGGCAAGGAGCTTATGTGAACTGGAAGTAATGTCTATTGCTTGCAACCAAGGAAACCTTGCTGACAGGTCTCCTGAGTGGAGAGAAATGCTGTTTCCCCACAGGAAATCCCCACTCAAGTGGCACCGTGATACATGCCAGCTCTCAGAAGGCTGAGGCAGCAAGATTAGACATTCAAGACCAGACTGGCTGTGTATTAAAACTGGTTTGCCTGCCACCAGTAATTCACACATATAATCCTAGCTACCGGGAGGCTGGGATCTGAGGATCCTGGTTCAAAGCCAGACAAAGCAGACAAATCTGACTCTTCTCTCCAATTCACCAGCCAAAAGCTCAAGTGGCAGAGTACCAGCCTTGAGTGAAAAAGCCCAGACAGCCTTGAGTGCAAGTCCCAGGTCCAGCGCTCGCACACGTGCGCGCGTGCGCGCGCACACACACACACACACACACTCAATCAACCAATCAACCAGTTAATGAAAAGACTTAGCCAAAAGATATAGATCTAGAGTTCAAAATTATTGCTTCTGGGGACAGAGACCAAACTGAGAAGGGAAATAATTACTATTTTGTACAATAAAGCATTTCATTTTTTAATTTTAATTTTGAAGCTACCCATAGATAGTCCTTTGATAAAAAAAATCCAAATTAACTTTTCAATTGCTAGAACTAGTAGGAAGATTAATAACATCCCAAGGGCCAATGGATTTTTTAAAAATAACACATCAACTATAAGTCCTGAATGATTTAGTAAGATGATCAAAGTCCTTGCTGGTGGGCTCCTGCTTATTTGAAGTGGGTTATGCATAAAATAATTTGGAGATGCAAAGCCTTTTGTGTGTGTGCTGGTAGTGGGACTTTAACTCAGGGCCTCACACTCTTCCTTGGCTTTTCCACTTGTGGCTATACCACTTGAGCCAAAGCTTCACTTTCATCTTTTTGCTGGTTAAATAGAAATAAGAGTCTTGCAGCCTTTATCTGCCCAGGCTGGTCTAGAACCACGATCCTCAGATTTCAGCCTCCCAAGTAGCTAGGATGACAGAGTGAACCACTGGTGCCTGGTTGCCATTTTGAAGCAAAAATAAAAAGGAAGTTAGCCAGGTGCTGTGGCTCACACCTGTCATCCTAGCTACTCACACCTGCCCATGCTTCAGTAGGCTTGCTTTAGGAAGCTAAGATCTGAGAATTGAGGTTCAAAGCCAGCCCAGGCAGGAAGGTCTGTGAGACTCTGATTTCCACTAAACTACAAAAAGCTGGAAGTGGTGCTATGGTTGAAGTGGTAGAGAGCTAGCCTTGAGCACAAAAGCTCAGGGACAGCACCCAGGCCCAGAGTTCAAACCCCTGGACTAACACACACACACACACATAAACACAACAATCAATCAAGCAAGCAATCAAACAAGCAAGCAAGCAAGCAGTCAGCCCTGGACTGCTGCTGAATCAGCAGGTGCTGACCACAAGGTACCACTCCCATGTCATCATTCCCAGGTAAGGGAATGACCTCTGACCCCACACAGAGGCCCCAGCCTCTCCTGTGCACCACGGCCCATCCAAGGTGAGAGATGCTAACCTAGTCATTCTAGAAAAACAGTCCTCAAACACCCTGACCCCTCCATCCTGGCTGTCCCCATGGCCCCCGTGAGATCCTTGCATGTGGCTCAGGCCTCCAATCTCAGGAACACCAAACACTGAGCTAAAGCAACCGTTTTAAGCCTGTGCATCAGGCGTCTATTCTGTGCCTTTCCTCCATAGACCCTTCAAACCTTTGCTCTCTCCCCAAAAGTTGGTGAGCCTGCCTTTTGCCCATGTTTGTTACCCCCCTCCGAGAAGCTGCTCTTTGAGGACAGTACACAGGACAGAAGATGGGGAGAGATGCCCCATGCCTGCCCTTCCCCTCTGCAGCCTGAGGATCTAGGGTCCACCCCCAGTTTACCCCCTGCATAAGACTGGAGCTGTGGCTCAAGTGGTAGAGCACCGGCCTTGAGTGAACAAGCTAAAGGACAGCTCCCAGGCCCTGAGTTCAAGCCCCAGTTCAAGCCTGAGTTCAAGGCACAGAATTAAACACACACACACACACACACACACACACGCAACCTGAAACTGGGTGGTCAGAAAACACTTGAACCCCTTGCTCCTGCCAATCCCCAACTGGAGTCTCTGGGGCATGTTTCAAGGCTGTGTCCCAACCACTGCATTCTATCAACACCAGGCAACCCAGACCCCAGCTCTGAACTCATGCAGCAGGCATATGTGTTTCTCTGCCCGAGCCCTTCAGGCTGCCAGGCTTAGCCAGATGGGAACAGCTTTATTTTATCAGTCGTGGGGCCTGAACTCTGGGCCTGGGCGCTGTCCCTCAGCTCTTCAGCTCAAGGCGAGCGCTCTACCACTTGAGCCACACTTGAGCACCACTTCCAGTTTTCTGGTGGTTTATTGGAGATAAGAGTCTCATGGACTTTCCTGCCTGGGCTGGCTTTGAACCACGATCCTCAGATCTCAGCCTCCTGAGTAG